GTTCCGTCCCGTCCCGTCCCGTCTGCATACCAAACGATACCTGAAGGATGCAAGGTTTGGATCTTGATGTTGGATTTTGCACATTTCAACTTATTCTTCAGTTCACTGGCCATCCTATCTACTTACGTCAAATACTCATCTGAAGGGAGTGAACGTGCCGGAATGAAAGATTAATTGTACATGTATTAGGTGCATTTTTTTTTTCTATTCGTAGAAACAATATTGAAGGAGGTAAATCCGAATCCCTTGAATGCAAAAGTAATTGCTCTTAGATACTTGATCGTATACTGAAAAAACAATTGACCTTCTATTAAAAACCACTTTATAGTCTTCTTCTGTGGAACATAATGTCATTATACCACATTGTCACATAAATAAAATTGTCTTGATCGACAATAGGGGATAACCTAGGTTGATTACTAAATTGCCCTTACATAAATAAATTATTTTCATAATGCGTGTTGACCCCACATGTATTTTGATTCCCCAAGATTATGTAAACAAAGGTGTATGCCGTAATCGGAATCCAATTCTGTAAATTGATTTCGATTACGGGTATGTAAACGTGCCATAATTGTACATGTATTAGGTGCATTTTTTTTTTCTATTCGTAGAAACAATATTGAAGGAGGTAAATCTGAATCCCTTGAATGCGGAAGTAATTGCTCTTAGCCACTTGATCATATACTGAAAAAACAATTGACCTTCTATTGAAAACCACTTTACAGGCTTCTTCTGTGGAACATAATTTCATTATACCACACTGTCACATAAATAAAATTGTCTTGATCGACAATACGGGATAACCTACACCATCACTAGAGAAACTTGCATATCTCAGTTCACAAACATCCGTTTTAAAATCCATTTAATGTCTCTTAACACGAGAAGAATTTACATTTAAAAAATTTACGACCACATAATATCCAATAATCAAAATGCCACAATAGGGACAAACCGGTTCCGCTTCCGTATAAGTTGGTCTCTTCCAACACCAACGAACAAGTAATGGTTCCCGCGTACTCTCTTCCCCTGTCTACATTCTAGTACCAAAACGCGTGAGCAAAAAATTGTCCTGTCCAAGCCCACAGTACCATGCGCGCAAACATCCCCAATTACAGGGCGCAAAGTGGGCAAATAAACGCCGCGTGGGGCTGCACAACGAAGTAACGAATCTGTACGAGTCTATGCCTCCTTGGACTACAGAGCAGAGAGAGAGAGAGAGAGTAAAAAGCAGAGAGAGAAAAAGAGACAAAAAAGAGAGAAAATTGTAAAGGTGGAAAAAAGAAAACCAGCTTTCATCCAACACTCCCTCCACTACCAGACAACTAAAACACAAAGAAAGAAAAATAGCTTCTTCCCCTCCCTTTATTTCCCTTCCAAAACAGCCAAACCCAAAAAACGCAAACTCTCTGTTTCTGTCCCTTTCTCTTTAACTAGTAGATCCGTTCCTTTGCAAAAGGGCTTTGTGTCTCTGGTGAGAAATTGATTGTGGGGTCCATGAAGTTCTCTGGGTTGTCGTTGGTTTCCACTCCGATGGCGTTTCTGCGGTGATCAAATTGTTTCTTTGTGATATATGTTGGTTTTTGCAACTGGGTTTTTGCTAGACAGTTTGAAGCTTTAGTGGGTTCTGCGATACGATGCAATCGGATAGGTCGGAAACATTGAGCCCAACAACCCTACGGCTGCAGTCTTTGTCCGCCGCCGATACCAGAGGGAAGCACAGGATACATGCCGAGTTGAAGCGGCTCGAGCAAGAAACTAGATTCTTAGAGGTCAGTGTGATTCTTTTTACTTTGTCTATGATATTGGGAATTTGAGTTCGTCTTATGTTGTTGGATTTTGATTGTCTTATGTTTCGTTTCTGAGTGTGATTGGATGCATGTGCCAGTGAGATAGTGAGAATATCCAATTTTTAAGGTTGAATTCAATTAGCTGCTGGATTTGTACGGTCACTGGATTTTCTGTTCGTTTGCTTGGAGTTTGAAGGTTTAGAGAGTCGATGATGGAATGTAGGATTGGGAATTGATTAAAAAATCATTTAGTAGAATTGTTAGGTTTCTGGTGAATGTGTTAAAATGGTTGCAGAGTTCGAAACGATTGGTTTGATTTGATTGTTTACTAGATTGTGGTCCTGTTTTTTCAATCCGTAGGCTTGGTTTCCTAGTTCTGTAGTGTAATGTGAGCGTTTGGGAAGTTTATGCTTCACGCTTTTGAGTGTATTCTCAGCTTTGCCTATTGCAGCCATGTGACCCTCTTATTCATTGTTACCCAAAATTTATGAGGGTTGTTGTTCTATTAAATATGACCCTCTTCATCAGGTTTTCCGATTGCGGCCATGTGACCCCTTTCTATCCATATTTTTTGCAAAATTTGGAAATTTTAGGAGTTATTAGTCGTTGTCTAGTTATTACGTACGTTTGCATTAGGAATAGTTGATTGCCTTCTCGGTTGTTATAGTTCCTTATCACATGTGCACAAGGGCAATTTGATTCACAATAGATAGATAATATATTAATAATCGGATAATGGACGTGGTTGGTCCAGGACTCTTTGGTGTTGAGTTCGCTTTGCATTGGGTGAGTACATGTTTCTTGTGAACAACTGATTGATTTTGTTGGTAATGAAAGCATGATAAACTTTACAGCTAAGAGGTGTACCTTGTATTTTATTTTAGGGAGTTTTAACGAAAAGCCCACGGTACTGCTTACTTTAACGAAAAACCACATTTTTACACTAAAAAGTCAATCATGGTACTATTCACTTTACCTTTTATTTTGTCCTTATCGTTAAAACTCAAAGTTTTCAAGTCCTTTTCATTAGTTTTCCTTTTATTTTATTTGCTCACTTTTAACTTTTGAGAAGTGAATCGTTGAGCTTTACACTTTGTACGGTGGCTCATTTGTTTGGCATGCGTTGTATACATATTTCAGTCCCTTACATCAAACTCTGAAGTTAATGCTTTTGATGGTTGTCTTGTTGTCAAATTGTTTTGATAACTGAAAATGCGGTGCAAGACTACAAGATTTTTGTCTTTAAGTTGTTCTTGAAGACAAAATTTTATTGAATTGAAAAGATAACCAGGGGTGTTGGGGAATAAGGTTTCAACCAGATGTGTGAAAATGCATGACCTATCAAATTGTTGACAACTGAAAACTAGAATAAAATTGAAAAAAATTAGCAACATAATAAGTACCTATTTATCACGAGAAGAACTGGAGTCAAATAGCTTAAATGGCAGAACACTCGGTTGAATCTAGCAATCTCCAATGCTATCTTAAAGTTTCCTGAGGCTGTATGAATAACAGGAGGTTTGTAATAGTCAACTTGGCCAGAGCTACCAACATTCAGAGTACCTCTCACCTAAGTTTCAACTTTTCAGCTGTAAAGTTCACAGAAATGATAAAGGCTAGTTAAATGGTATTAGAGTACTTGGAAAGATGGCTTCTCGTGTGCTGAGTAGAAAAATTATGAATTTGTTACATTTATGTTTGGATATTTTAACCTCTTTGGACTTTTGACCGTTAGAACACTCCATCCACTAACCTAGGAGCAACTGCTATTATTGGTGTCATTGTCTGTGGCTAAAAGTTGTCAAACTTGCTGCTAACGTTATGCTTCAGATAAGATTTTTGAAACCACTTATATTGGTACAAGTTGTTAAACTTGCTGCCATCATTTTGGTTTGACGAGCAACCACACATATATTGGTGGGAAAGTCATGTCTGGAGTTATTTTCAAGTTTTGGTTTGAGAGGTGGTCTAATAAAGCTTTCATTATCTCAATTGATGCCGCATGCTCTTGCAAGTTACAAAGCATATGTTCTTTTAAGAAATGCAACTCCATATTCCTCTGTCTTCGGAAGCAACTAATGCTTAAGATGTTTGAGTTTCATTACTCACTCTTCCACCATGTGGGTAGGGCACCTTGAGGAAAGAGCGAGGCATACAAAATGTTCTGGTCAAAAAGTTTGAAATGTGATTGTGTTAAAATTTTGCTTTCGGAACTTATTGGCTTCTCAAACGTTTCTATAATAAAGCTTATCTACCACTCGTCATTGTCAAGCATCTAGTGACATGTTTTAGCCTCCCATGACCCCGAATTTTTATGGCAAGCATCTAGTGACACTTTTCACATTAGGTTTACTTGGGAATTGGAGATTTATAGTGGTTATTGCTTTATTTTTTTTTCCTCTCTTTTTGTTGGGCTTTTCTAGTTATGTGATTTGGTAATCAAAAGGCACCCCGAAAAAGGGAGTCAGCAGCTTGTTGTGGGCGTGTTTGTTTGTCATGATTTATCAGCATGACGTCATCATGAAGGCTGCTGAATGGATTTTTTGTCTCCTCATTTTGTTTCTGCAGGAAGAACTGGAGCAACTTGAAAAGATGGATAAGGCATCATCTGCATGCAAGGAGTAAGCAAGGAAGCGACTTTAGAATATTTGGCTTTTTTTCTTTCTAGAAACCTAGTTTTGAATGTGATCAATATGTTTACCAACTTTGTTTGTGCTCCAGAATACTAAACAGTGCAGAAACAAGGCCTGATCCATTACTCCCAATGTAACACCTCTATTCTACTTGTTCGCGTTTTTTCGTTAACTTCCCCATCATTTCTGATTTTCATCCTCTTGTGATTGACAGAACACACGGCCCTCTTAATCCATTCTGGGATCGATGGTTCGAAGGCCCCCAAGACTCGAAAGGTTGCAGATGCTGGATATTGTGATGATTCTTGCTGTGTTCCAGGCTTCCATCTTCGTTTGTTCACACAGGCTTCAATTAGGACATTTTAAAGATTTTGTGATTACTGTTACCCGCAAATGTTCCGCAAAAAGTTTCTTTGTGCAGATGACAATTTATGGCAATGCTTTCATATGGGAGTCTTTAATTTAAGGCAAATGTGCAGAATGTTAACAATTTTTCAATCAAAATGCTTCACTGTATCGGCAGAGGATGACAATTTTCCAGGCACATTGTATTGTTTAACGAAATGCCTAATGATTCAGAAGGTAAAATATTCTTCAAGCAATTGAAATTGGAAACAATCTACAAAGTTGCTCAGAGCAAATAGCTTTAGATGATACACAACTGACACCATTACATCACTCGGCCTCGAAACCCCAGATATTTGAAAAAATCTCTCTTGTGCTCGTTTCTTCAAGTGGGCGCTTTCCCTGTAACGTGCTGGGCAATCCAACCTAGACCATCATACAGCCCTTCTCCTGTGAGGGCACAACAGGCTTGGATGTGCCAGTCATGATTCTTGATGCTGTGAAGAGAGAGCGTGTCGGTGATCTCTGCTGGGGTCATTGCATCCTTGAGGTCTTGTTTATTTGCAAAAACCAGTACAACAGAATGTTGAAGATCCTCATGTGCCAGCAACCTGAACAGTTCATCTTTCATAATTGAAATTCTGGCCCTATCTGTACTGTCTATAACCGCAATGATAGCATGAGTTCCACGGTAATATGTTGCCCATGAAGTCCTCAGCCTTTCTTGTCCGCCAAGATCCCATACCTGTCATTGACATGATTTGCAGGTATCTTCTTTAGATCTTAGCGTCTAACACCAAGAAAACTTAAGCATGATATAATGCCTTGAATGAGAGAGAATGAAATGAAAATGGCAAGGGAAGAGAAATCTGAGAGCATGACTAACATTTGATCGAGCTGAGATGTAGAGCATCATTTAAATGGGGTAGCTCAAAATATTTAATGAGCTAAAAAGACTTGGACACAGACCAACAATGTCACTATACATGAAGGATGTCACTATCTTCTAAGTTTTAACGACAACATTCAATTCCTTTCTACACTTCTTTGATCACCATCAGCAAAGTCATAGTTATCATGCTCAGTTGGCAAGTAATGTTGAAATTTCATGCTTCCTGTATAGGTGGAGTTATTGTTGCTTGACATGTTAAGACATATATTTCAGAAACACAGCAGGGACAATTAGCCCTGTCCAAAACTACATCCTCCAGATATCACAGCATCAAATCTATGCCATTTTAGATGTACAAATGATGACACACGCGCGCACATGGCTCTAGTAGGTAACTAGAATAAAACTGAAAAAAAAAAAAAAAAAGTAACAACTAGAACAAACAATCCAAGTAAAATTTACGCTATCCTAACAACTGTTATAACATTAGTTTCTTCATTCTCAATAAATTCATCATATCAAAACTGTTATAAACAACATGAATGAAACTGAATGATTTCTTATAAAGACCATGAATATATTTAACAAAAACATAAAACAACTCTAATCATCCTTCCACAAAAGAATGTTCAAGCACTTGGAGTCAAGTACTCTCATGGTAAACATACCTAAACTTTGAGAGCTTTAGAACATATAAAACAACTGGTGTGTTTCCAGTTAACTCTTAAACCTTTCAATGCGTCAGGCATGGTATACTTCCTATTAAAGTACTTGACACAAAATGATTGAACACATTGTATGCCAATGGTTAAAAAAATTCTGCAACCCAAAATAAAACATTCCTCTTCATTATTAGAACAGATAATCAACTTTGAAAGTTACCACGAAAAGGCTACTACTATTATGCTTCAGATAAGATTTGTGCAGAGGATAAGATTTGTGGAAAGGGCTAAAAGCGCATGCTGCTGTAAATCTCCCAATACAACACCGATAGTCTTAAAAGAAACAAATTTCACCAAACAATTTCCTCCCCTTAATACTGCAGTGAACTATAACTCCATTAACTAAATGAGTTTGATTAGTAGGATTACCGTCAAAGGCATTGCCATGGGTAGGATTATCAGTAGCAGTAGGGGAACTGCAGGCAATTGAGGAAAAGTAACAGATACATCTAGTTACTATTAAGAAACCAAACAATTGGGCAAGATGATTTCTTTACACAACCCTATCAACTGCATGGCTATCTCGAAATATCTATCAGAAGAACAAAAAATAAAAGAAACTGAGAAATTCAAATGAATAGCCAAATACGGTATTAAAAAGTCTACCAAAAAGGTTGTTAGAAAACAACAAGAATCCAATAAACACAGATAAAAGGACCCCTCGACAGCTCGACCACGCACAAGAATACCCTAACTTGATCAAGAAACTCACCCATCCTAAAATGGATAACCATCCGTAAACGAAATTGAAAAAAATAGAACATAGAAGAGAGAGGAATGGCTAAGGTACCTCGAATCGAATGTTCTTGTAGACAAGCTCTTCGACGTTGCTGCCTACAGTTGGGTTCGTGGTGACAACCTCTCCCAAGTGTAATTTGTAAAGAGTAGTGGTCTTCCCAGCATTGTCCAACCCAACTACCACTATCTTATACTCTTTTGCAGGAAACAACATGAACCAAAACTTGGAAATGAATGCCCCCATCTTCTATCCCCAACCCAAAAATCCAAACTTTACCTACAACAACCAATATTTATCAGAAAAAAAAAACAAGAAAATTTAAAATCGAAAAACATCTAAAAACAAATAAATTACATGAATATATTGATTTCTGTGTTAATTCTGGATGGTTTGGTCAAATCAAGATTAAAAAAAAAAAAAAAAAACAGTAACAAAAAATAACGATGACAAACTAATGTGGCTTCGATTCGAAATTAGCAGATCGATGAACAGAAACATTTCAAGAATTAAAAAAAGGTGAAAAGGAAAACGATCGAACCTGGATTTGGGTATTGGCGGAAGGGTGAAAGATGGAGGAGGAGGTGGCGGTTGATCGGCGGGGAAGGGCGGTTTCCGATGTTCGGGAAGCGGAGGATTGGAACCAAGAGAAACCCCCGAGATTAATTTTGGGTTTGGATCAGTAATCCACCCAAAAGCTTTGGGGTTTCAGAAATTTTGCGATCTGTATGGGGAAGGCTTAGCGGTGTTTGCGAGAAGGCGATAAAGGAAGCGCCTTTGTTAAATATTTTTTGATTAGTCGTTGAAGTACCCACCAAAAATACTTGATATATAAAAGTGGGTATAAAAAAAATTGAGCTTAAAAAGAGTGTTTGGTAAATATTTACAAATAGTTTATTTTCATAGTTTTAGGTGAAAAAAAAGTTGACAACGTGAAGCAGCAAAAATGAGCTTATTTTCACAGTACAACAGAAACAGTTTTTTTCCAAAGTACAACAATACCAAACCGTTCAGCAAGTGGTGTAAGAGGCCGCACGGTTATTTGGGACAACATAATGACGTGTGTTGATTAGTATGATTCTTTGACATTATTGTTCACTATTATGTAACATTATATAATATGAAAAATAATTAAAAAAAAGATGAAAAATAAGTAGTTGTAATCCTAATTTACTGAACTAGAATAAGGACATAGAGAGAGGGGGTGCGGCATTAGTAGAGAGAAGAGAGAGATGTGTAATTGTGAGGTGTGTTTTATTCCACCCCATTGTGCCTTTATTTATAGTAGTAGAGAGTTAATTCTTTACCCTTTTAAGATTACAACTCTAATAGGATATTAACTACTAAAAGAAATATTCAAAGATATCCCTAGATACACTAGGATTTACACAATCACATTTGTAATCTAATAGGACTGCAGCACTCCCCCTTGAGTGTGTAAATACTCAAATAAATGGCGCATCAGGTCTTCAGTGATGAAGTAAGTACAGTTGATGAAGTCGTCGACACAATGAGCGAATGCGAATCTCAGATCAACGGAAGAATACATAAAATGGTAAAACTCACAAAACCTTGCTATGGTAAAACCCAAGGTAGGAGAAAAACTCACAGGCTAAGGAGAAAAGTGAGAAGTTGCATTAAGTCAAAACTATAAGTCTTATGGACACAAGTAGAAGAGCTCACAAGGGTATGATCAGCCCAGGATAGGTGCCTCGTCAAAACCTAGTTAGGTAGCAAAAACCCAATGAGAAAATGCTCCTAATCGTAGAAACAAAGAGTACATTAAGATCAAGTGAGTATACTTCTGGATACTCCCCCCTAAGTTTGACAAAACTTCCAGATGAGAACTACAAGCATCGTATATGAGTAGTTAGGCATACCAATTCCTCAGACAAGCTTCTGGAAGGTTGACTTCGGTAGTGACATTGTGTAGAGGTCGGCAAGGTTGTCTGGGATTAGCTTGCATGACTTTAATCTCATGATGTCTTGCTAATGTATATATAGAAGCAATATGTCTTGATGTTGACTTCATTGATGTATTATGTCTTGGTCGGGTTGATACATGAGTCATAATCTTCATGGATCATTGTTGGGACTCAACAATGGATGAAAACATCGTAGGTACTTCAAATATGCTCAACAAAAACTCTCAACCATGTCTTACGTATGGTGTTGTGAAGTGAGGTGAGTCTTGGAATGATTCGAAAATTTCGCAACTAAGGTCATATCGTGGACCTCTAAGATATTCTGATATCCCTAATGGTAAAGACATAACCATTCGGGGATTTGCCTTGTGCGGGTTTGATAAGTAACCAACGTCAACATAACAAATAAGGCAAGCATCTTTCCGAGGATCAGGAGGGTTGGATCCGCTCGAGATGCATTGGGATTTGCCTAAATCCGTAGTACCTTTCAAGGTAGCAGAAAAATGTCTTTAATACCAATTCAGTGGTTGCATGTAGGCGCGGTGTTGCATCTTTACCAATAGATCAACAGCAAAGGAGATGTCTTGTCTAACGCAATGAGCTAAATACAACAAAGCGCAAAGTTGAACTTAGATATGGAATTTCAGATTTCATAACCTCTTCAAGGGTCACATTTGCATATAGCGTATAGAAGATCATAGGTATACTCAAAGGTAACACCTTCAGGGTGTAGTTTGACTGGTACCAAAATGCCGTCAGAACAATGCTTGAACTCCATGTCAAGGCATAAACAAGTTTTCCCAGGATCCATCGTCTCAAATTCCGTCTTCAGGTGCGAGGCAATTTTCTTAAGCTCTTCTAGAGTCTTAGTGAGATTCATGTCAACGACATAAACTGTAACTCTAGTAATTCGGAATAAGACTTCATAATTTAACATGTAAAGGCATTCATTCATATCCCTAACTGATCAAGTAATCACTTAGACGAGTGTACCACATTCGTCGAATTGTTTCAATCCGTAAGTAAATGCCTCAAACAAGTTAAGAGGGTGTTCCGTGGTTTAGAACTATTTGAATCAGTCCATGTAATTCTTCGGGAACTTACATGTAAATCTCCTTATCAATATCCCCAGGGAGAAATACTAACCACATTTCATAATACTGCAATTAATCATAAGGCGTTTGAGAGAAACCTTGCGCTGTAAGGTGTGCATTATATCGCACTATTTCATTCATCTCATTACACTTCATTTCCCACTTGTAACACAACAGCGTTACCTTGGGCAGTGTAGGAATGATGGGTCCAAAACACACTTTGGTAAGGAATTTAACCTGGATTGTAATTTCGATTGTCCAATCAGTTTTACGTTGTCACTTAATCAATGGAACACAGTTCGATATCGTTGCTTTCATTTATGTCGGTAGCTACCATATAAGTGAAAACATCATCGATGGTAATCTCATTTCAATTCCATTTTCTCATCCAAACTAGTATATTGGACCAAGAGCTTCAAGTCTCGGGAGTAATCCGGATTAATCTCATGAAATGGAAATGATTTAAGAAAGCGATCAAATACAGATTCATTGTTGTGCCGTGTCTTCCTCTTATAGGGAAGTGAATTCTATGAATCAAGTGATCTATCGTGCTCTAGGCTAAAACAGATTGATTGCTATCTGCCAGTGGATCGGGTCGTCCAACAAGGGCGGCCAAACCATCCAATAGGGGCGGCACATACTTCGGGGATGTTGACTCGATGTCCGTTTAGTACGTCTATCCTTGTAGGCATGTTTGCAGCCGGTATATGATCTCGTCACTTTAGCTAGATTAGAGGAATATGTCTGGAGCAACATTCTGAAAGCTAAAATTCATCGCACTTGCTTATCACACTTGTGCGGTACGGGGATCGAGATGAGACATAGTGGGCAACATCCACGCAAATTGGCGTCATTCTACATGAACGTTAACATTCTTATCTCCCTTAACGGCGGGAAGACTGTCTTATTGAAGTGACAATCCACAAATAAGTGGTAAAGAGATCACTTGCAAGGGCTCTAAAAGACCTAATAAAGGAGAATTGTAATCGACAAAGATTCATTTCCTTCTTTGAGGACCCATGTTGGTACGTTGCAGCGGCGCAACTTGGCATATGGAATGCACACCTAAATGCGTAAGTAGGAAACATCAGGTTCGTACCTGGTAACCAATTGTAACATTAAATAGGTTAAGTGGCAATAGGTTTCAAGGCGGACCAACATAGCTGCGTACAAGATTGCATAGCCCTAGGCAAAAACCGAAAACTTGGTACGTTCACCAAGGTCCAGGAGATCATTTAAATTGCGCTTTATGATCATTATACGAGGCTATTTTGGGTGAACATGGGAATTCGATATCCAATTATAAACCCAAAAGACATGCAATACTTTATCAAAAATCGTCGATATAACTTTTCGGCGTTATCCAGTTCCCCAGACTTTATGGGATAAATATGGTGGTTAACCCTTAAAATCGGCCAGGAAGTTTAGCAACAATGTGTGTGGACAAACATGTGACTAGTTTGTCGATTCATCAACCAAAACCATAAGTATTTATATGGTCCGCATTTTGGTTGGATTAGTCCATATATATTCCCTTGAATCCACTGTGAAAAGAGGGTCGTTTCGTATCTTTGTGAGGGATGATTTAGAAAATCAATTTCCCCAACGAGTAGGCTTGGCAAAGTGTGCTTGTAAGCACATGATCCTTACTTTAGGTAAGGAAATGCTTTATGACATCATTGTTCAACCTAAATGTCCCAAATGGTCATGCCAAAACAAGTAAACTGCTCAATCACTAGGCTCTAGGCCGGCCACATGTGGTGTGTTCCCAGTTGGGAGACAACTTATTGGCCCCAAATCAAAGCTTCATGCTTATTTTTGGAGGTGGTGCAAAGATATTTCACTATATTTTCTTTAGTGGTTTCATTGATGATACTTGTCATTTTGAATATCCTTTAAAACTCAACGACGTTCTTCCGGAATGGGGAGAAGATAAGGTATCTGACATGGTAATTCAGTACTATTCATACAATGAGGAGTGTGCCAATGCTCTTAATCAGGTTGGATAGACTTGAAGTCGTTGCTAGAGATGTGATTTAGGTGTAAAGTTAGTGTTCGTAGTATCGCATTCATTGTCACATCCCAGGCCCGGGACGGATCACTTCCCGGGCCCGCTCCACCATCGTAGCACGATATTGTCCGCTTTGGGCTTACCATTCCCTCATGGTTTTGTTTTTGGGAACTGACGAGTAACTTCCCAGTGGGTCACTCATCATAGGATTGCTCAAACCCCACTCTCGCTTAACTTCGGAGTTCGTACGGAACCCGAAGCCAGTGAGCTCCCAAAAGGCTTCGTGCTAGGTAGGGATGAGAATATACATATAAGGATCACTCCCCTGAGCGATGTGGGATGTCACATTCATCTAAACAACTAATTGTCCTACATTCGTACCTAATCACGTGCTTAATTGAATTTGGTCACATGTATACTAAAAACATGATTCAATTAACTTATATTCGAGGACAATATTAATAAGATTATCTATAATGAAAACATACGCCAAACTTAAATCCAAGAGCATGGAAAAACGTTCACAAAGTAAATGGTTTACTAAGAGGATTCGGCCAACAAGGTCATCCATATCAAAATTCTGCTCTTCTAGCAATGTTTGGTGGAACACAATTAGTCTTACATATTGACGATGAGAATGGTACTCCTCAACGACATTGGTAGAGGCACGAACATGTGCATAACCAATAATCTATTCCATCGAGATGGAAATAGATTCTGCAAGGTTAAGGTTCGGGAATACTATTCCTTATTCTTGAA